CGGGAGCGGGGCCGGTGACCTGCTCTGGTACCGGCTGGTACCGATAGCAGCTCTGGTACCGGCACCAGCACCCACATTGACAGTCGGGCCGTCATTGGTGCCTGCACCAACACCTGCACTCGTAGCAGCACCCGCACCAACATGGGCAATCAGGGCAGTAGCAGCGCCCACACCAGCACCGCCACCTGCACCAACACCGGTACCGGTACCGGCACCCACCCTGACAACGGGGCTGACACCAGCACCTGCACTAACAGCACCACTGGTACCAGCACCTGCAGCACCACTGGCAATCAGGACAGTGCCAGTGCCTGCACCAGCACCGGCACCCACACCAATGGTACCAGCACCGTCACTGGTACCAGCACCCACAGCACACTGGTAACTGGGCTGGCACCAGTATCAGCGCCAACTTCAGTACTGGCACTGGTACCAGTACGGGCTCCCGCAGCACACTGGCAACTGGGCCAGCACCAACACCAGCACTGGCACCAGTACCCATACCAACACCAACACCAGGACCAGCACTGGTACTGGCGCCTGCTCCTGCATTGGCAATGGGGCCAGAACCAACTCCAGCACTAATACTGGTACTGGCCCCCGCATCCACTTTAGCAACTGGGTCGGCACCAGTACTCACACCAGCACCAGCACTGGTACCAGCACCTGCAGCCGCATTGGCAATTGGGCCAGCACCAGTACCCAAACATGCACCAGCACTGGCACCAGCACCAGCTCTGCAGGTGCCAGAACTGGTACCAGCACCCCACACCTGCACTGGCCGCTGTGCCCGCAGCAGAGGCTGCTTGCACCAACACTGGTACCGGCACCAACACCAGTACCCCCAGCTGTACCCACATCTGCACCACTCACTGCATTGGTACCAGCACCAGCACCGCCCTGGGCACCCACATCTGCACCAGCACTGCGGGCACTGCTGCACACCCCATGCAGACAGACACCTGGACACACACCCTGCACGAACGCAGGACGGGATGCACAGACAGACAGACAGCCCCACACACAGACACAAGGGCACCGATGCACACGCAAACACCTGCAGCAACACGCGAACATGTGCACAGCCGCACTGCCCCTGTCTCAACACACCGTGCACACACACACACTGTGTACACGCACCGTGTACACACACACACACCATGCACAAACACGCACCGTGCACACATACCATGCACACACACCGTGTACACGCACCATGCACACACACACACCATGTACACACACACACCGTGCACACACACACTATGCACACACACCGTGCACACACACCATGTGCACACACACTCTGTGTACACACACCATGTACACACACACACCATATACACACACCGTGCGCACACACACACTATGCACACACACCGTGCACACACACACCATACACAAACACACACTGTGCACACACACACCGTGTACATGCACCGTGCACACACACACACCATGCACAAACACACACCGTGCACACACACACTGTGTACACACACTGTGCACACACACCACACCCACCCTGCACACACACACACACCGTGTACACACACCATGCACACACACACACCGCCCACACACGCACCGTGCACACACACACCCCATGTACACACACTACGCACACACACACACAGTGCACACACACATACACTGTGCACACACACCATGCACACACACACACCGTGCACAACCTAGGACACATGCACACCCCTGCATTGTCCCCAGTTAAGCACACACACACAGATGCATTATAAATATATATAT